GGCCCTAATCATGATTATGATGATGTTGATGATACCCATCAAGGGCACCTTGACCAATCCCCCGCCATCGCCCTCGCTGCTGCTGTCGCTGCTGATCCCGCAGCCGACAACACTACTCCCACTCCCTCTTCCATCTCTCCCTTCCTACCGCCACCCTCTACAGACAAGGTGCCCAACAACGTGCCTGATTCTGTTCCTGATTCTGATTACATGCCCCGTGGTGATGCCAATGCCAGGGACACTCCAGACCAGGCCGATACCCTCCCCATCGGCGCTGCTCTTGACCCTGCCTCTGCCTCTACTTCCAGTAATAAGAAGGCCCGTGGCCCCGGTCCCCTACCGAGGCAGACCGGTCCTTCCCTGCTGACCCAAGCCTTGGCTTCTGCGAGAGGTATCACCAATGTCAAATCTCCCAAATCCTTCTCTCCTACATCTACTCCTCCTATAACTTCGTCCTCTTCCGCAACTCTTTCAACTGCATCTACTGGCCCTCGACAGTCTAACCTAAACAAGACCGTTCCATCTTCCCCGACTATTTCAACTATCTCGACTCCTACTACTCCCACTGCGCAGTCGAGTCTTTTCTCGTTAACAGGGCCACCAACTGCACCAGCGAACCTCGCTTCCCAATACGATCGCGATAGCGCCTCAAACCCCTTCGAATCTTCTTATCACGATGTTCCAGCTCAGCGCACCGCTCCTAGGCCGTTAGCTAGAGCCACTTCCGAATCTATCAATATGGGAGCATCTACTACTGTTACAACGATGACGTCGCTCGTCCCTCGGGAGGCGGCGAGCGTCCCATCGACTTTAAGCCATTCAACTCTTGCTACTACACTTCGAGGTGCTCTTGATCATCGTGAACCGATTGACATGACCCGTGGCAAGGCCTCAACATCTCTGGATCTGGATAGACAATCTGTTGACTATTGCCAACCTCAAACTACAAGCTACACAGCAGCCCTTATCGACCGACCTATCCCCTACGATACTCGCTCGGGGACTAAGACACCACCTATGGCGACGCGAAAGGAGGATGCGAGGCCCGTTCAACAGAGGCCGATACAATGGGCGAAGATGCCGCCCTATTGGACGAGCAATGGCGCCGAGAAAACTGAAAAGATATGGTCCATTGGTTCTGTAGAAGGACAAGAAGAGGATGGCTTGGTTGAGAAGTCTGTGACTGAGGCAATGGCTGGCCTGGAGCATAATGCTCGTAGCCGGAAGTCTAGTTACAGTCTGAGATTCTTCAAAGAGGGTCTGCCACCAGAGGATAAGCCACGTCGCAAGGATACAAAACAAACGGCAAAAGAAAAATTGACACCCCTTGAAGAGGACCATCAACATGCCTTGCGCGAAGATTCCCAACCGACAACCTCTGACATAGAGCCGACAGCCACTCGCACTCAGCAGGAAGGCCGAAAAGGTTCTTTTTTCACATCAGATTCGCTCGATGAACAGCCTGTTCTGAGTACATCTCCTAGCGAGGATTATTTTTCCATTCCAGTCAATGGCCTCATCAAATCTGAAGACAAGACGCCGTTGCGAGTGCAGCAGCCATTGTCCCAGGCCAAAGACGGAAACGAACAGGTGGAGTCGGCCAAAGTTGTGGGGCCAATCCCGGTCGCCAATGCCGAGGCCGCCCGTGAAGCCGAAATTGTGGAGTTAAGACGGGACTCGGCTGGCAGTGCTCATACTGATGCCGGATCTCGCGATGATGGAGAAGCCGAAGAATCTGGGGAAGAAAAGATCTCATCTGCCGTCTTTTTGCCCCACCAAGAGCTGCAAGATCCTTGTGTAAGTGAACCACAGGATCGCATTGCGGCCCGTAGTATCCGCGTGCGGTCTCTATCGCAAAGTAATCAACGCCCCTGGCTCGTGAAGGCCGATGAGCCAGAGTCAGAAGCCATTCATGAGAAGGATGAGCCTCCTTATGGGATTTCCCGCCACCCTTCTCGTGAGAAACTTACCTTGAAACGCGGTGACCTCATCCCTCAACAAGGTGAAGAGGGCGCCGTTATTGAGGAGGAAATCACAGTGACAACTGACTCTCATAAACAACCGCAAATCGTGAGCCAGTATGAAGACCATGTCCATGATCATCAGCATGACCCCCAAGAGCCTCTGGAGGCTATTGAGCTCATTCCGTATAAACATCAAGTTGGTGGACACACCACCCTCTGGAGATTCTCTCGAAGGGCTGTCTGTAAGCAACTCAACAATAGGGAAAATGAGTTTTACGAGACTATAGAGAGATACCACCGTGATCTGTTACCTTTCCTTCCTCGGTACGTCTGATCGAATTGTGTTTTGCGACCCTTTGCGTCTGTATCATTGAGATCGTGTTGAAATGCTAACTTTGACAGCTATATCGGTGTATTGAATGTCACCTTCCAAAAACAGGCTCGCCGAAAGAGCACGTCCAAGAAAGACGAGGCGGCAGCAGCCGAGCGCAAGAAGGCACAGGAAAAGCTTGAATCTAGTAGACACGAACTGGAACAGAACGAGGGCCAGGATGCTATTAAGGCCGAGAAACCGACAGGCCGAGTTGTTAGCCAATCTCTCGCCAATAGCAACATCCCTGTTCCGACGGTAACTTTCGACGATAACAGGCACATTCTGCCACGAAACCTTCTCCAGCCGATGCCTTTGCCAAGAGAATACCGACGACAAAGCATATCAACCTCCACCGTATCAAATCATTCCGTGCCATCTTCTGGAACATCGAGCAGACCGCCTCTGGATGAGCGACCCAACAGTTGGGGCGCAACCATGGTCAACAAGAGGCTGAGAAATGAGGTTTTCAATGATGCATTCCTGAAGGAACCTGTCAAGATTCATCGACATCGCCGACCGCATCAACGATCAATTCCACGTCCTACTTTGCAACGTCTCCTGCGATCCACGAATTCCGACCCTGCCTTGATCAAAAGTGACTCCCCGTTCATCAACGGCCACGATGAAGCAAATGGTTATCCTCAGGAACGAAAGATTATGCATCACTACTCACACAGTGATCTCGGACCTGGCGTGGATGAATACGTCCAGTCTGAGCCTGAGCAGGCTCCCGAAGAAGTCAAGGATGTGACTGGAACAAGCGCTCCAGAGCCGGAAACTCTGAAGGAAAACCCTCTCGCGGCGAAGAAGAAGCGCAGATACTCTGCTGGTGGTCTTCGACGGAAACCCGAGGATGTTAGAGAATCTAGGGGAGACTTGAAGTACTTTGAGGAGGCTGATGATGCTGGGTATAAGGGAGACAACGAAGACAAGCCCAAGCGACACTCAAAGACACATTCTACGAATGGACACCATCATCCAGACACAAATGGTGCCCATCAACACTCGCAGTACCTAGAGCATCTACAGCCTGGAGACGAGTTTGCCATTGAATCAACTGAGCCCACCCCGGCTATGGAGGAGACTGTCCATGAGTTCACCAAGATTCCCAGGCCAGTCAACCCGAAAGAGGCAAAGACTCAAAAGGACCGAGTCGAATACTTCTTGCTCCTAGAAGACCTCACCTCAGGGATGAAGAGGCCCTGTATGATGGATTTGAAGATGGGAACTCGACAATATGGCGTGGAAGCTAGTCCAAAGAAGCAAAAGTCGCAGACTGAAAAGTGCCGAAACACAACATCAGCTGAGCTAGGGGTTCGAATCTGCGGGCTGCAAGTGTGGAACGCTGCGAAGGAAACATATGACTTTCAGGATAAGTACTATGGCCGCAAATTGAAAGCTGGAGAGGAGTTTCAAGGCGCATTGCAAAAGTTTCTATACAACGGTGTCGATCTACATAGTATACTGCGACATATTCCAGTTGTGCTCAAGAAGCTTGGGCAACTCGAACAAATTGTGAGCAAGCTGAATGGTTACCGGTTTTACGCTGCGAGCTTGCTCATGTTTTACGACGGCGATACATCCGAGGATGCGGACAACGAAACGATGTACGAGTCTACTACCGACTGCGCAACAGATACGGAGGAGACCTCGCGAAAGAAGACGAAGAACAAGAGGGAGATTGATTTCAAGATTGCAGATTTTGCCAACAGTGTCACTCCCTTCGACAAGATTGACGACAAGCCTTGCCCTCCACAACACCCTGATCAACCTGACGGTGGATTTCTCAAGGGCTTGCGTAGTCTGAGGAGATATTTCCTCCAGATTCAAAGGGACGTGAGGCAGGAGCTGGGGCTTGATCCTTACGGTAGATTCTCGCATCACATGGATTATGCCGGAGATCTTGATGCCGAGAACGGGATGGTCAGTCTTTAGGCGACCTTAGATAAGGACGGTGGTGTACGTTTGAGAAGAAGTGTCTGATACCCATTATTTCAATTTGGATGGTTTTACAATGGACTTTTGCTTTCGCCGGAGTTTGGTTTGTTTTTGGCTCTTTTCTTTTCTATTTCACGGCCAACTTCTATCCCACGAAGGGACCCTGGAGTTCACAGGAATTATCACCATGGCGGTATGGAACTGGAACAAAACCCAACGGGTAGAAGGAACAGGGCTTATGTCTTATGACATGTTGAATTCATCTCAAAACATACCCTGCATCGGTTATGGCGCAACAGCAAACAGGAAAGGGGGGCCGGAGCTGGAGTTTGAAAAGCCCGTTTTTATTGTCAACTCTTTGTTTCACTTGAGCTGGAAGTGAGTGATGGATCGAGGGGGGAGGAAAGGCAGCGGCTCTGGCCTCGCTACGGAAAGTGCTTCTTTTGGAATTTCTTGACGTGTAGTTTCGTTGGTGTTGGGGATGGGAAACGAAAACCAGAATGATGATGGTGTTTTTTGTTTTGCAATCTGCTTGTACTTGGCGGCAGTGAAACGGGCATATCCTGGTGGTTTTGGCAAGGTAGCTCTTAGAAGTTAGAAAAAATGCAAGCTAAAAGGGTCGTTGGTCCATACTGAAGTCTGATGGTTTGATCTCGTATCTGAGTGAACACATATCCGCAAGACTAGCTTAGCGTGGCAACTGGTTCCTGTAAGATAACTGTTAGCTAACAACAACCCTGTCTAACCTATCATTTGTGGTTGGAGGCATCGTAAAATGCTACTATACATGCCGAGTGTTCCTGTTTGATAGCTATATATTCTCTCCATGGTAAGTCAACATGTTCGTCTGACCATAAATCTCACCGCCAAACATGGGTTCTATTATATCGACGCTTAAATCAACAGCATCGGCCGTATTCTCCGGCTATAGGACAGTTCTCACGCTTTACAAGCAATTCTCATCTCTTCTTGAACGCGCGTCCTCAGAACCAGGATTTCCCGTCCCAGAGCCAACAAAGTCATACTGGCTCGACGATCCGCCATTCCCGGCACTATGCGACATCCAAGATGAGAAGCTTCCCTCAGAAGTAGACATGGTCGTCATCGGCAGCGGTATCACAGGTGCAGCCGTAACAAAATCGCTGCTAGAGCTCTCCGACTCCAACCTTAGAGTTGTAGTCTGTGAGGCAAGACAGCTATGCAGTGGTGCAACGGGTAGAAATGGCGGACATATTAAAAGTGCGCCATATGATGAATTCGCCATGTTCAAGTCAAAGTTGGGGCCAGAAGATGCGAGGAGGATAGTGAGGTTTAAGAGAAGTCATTTGGACATGATGAAGCAACTGGGGAACAATATTGAGGCGGCTGAGGTTAGAGAGGTTGAGACGGTGGATGTTTTTGTTGAGAGGGAGGATTTTGAAAAGGCGAAGAAACAGGTTGAAGATGTCAGGGAGTGGATGCCCGAGGAGAAGCATCGGGTTTGGGAGGCGGAGGAGGCGAGAAAGGAGGTGAGTTCTAATCAGATGCAGATTATGAGTGAAGTACTAATGAGGACAGCTTGGTGTGAATGAGCTGGTTGTGGGAGCCGTGACTTATACGGCTGGTGCACTGTGGCCATATCGTCTTGTATCGAGTGTTTGGAACGATTTACTTGAGCGGTTCTCGGGGTTGAGTATCAACACTCACACACCCGTTGAGAAGGTATCTCATAACTCGGATGGATCTTACACAGTCACGACACCTCGTGGAATCATCAAGACGAAACACGTTATCCACACAACGAACGCCCATGCTGGACAACTTCTCCCTCCAGTAAGGGGCTGTGTCGTCGGTGCCATTGCACACATGAGCGCTCAACGACCAGGATCTTCATTCCCACCAACCCACGGAAACCGCTCCTGGTCAGTTATCTACAGCCCAGGCTTCGATTATATCACCCAACGCCCAGATAGACCCAACGGAACACCTGGTGATCTAATGATAGGAGGAGGATTCTTCCGAAGTCGTGAAGACGGTCTCGATCAAGTTGGAATCTGGGACGATAGCAAAACCCACGCCCTTCCTCTAATGCACATCCGCGGCGTAATGCCCTCAATCTACGAACCGAACTGGGGCTCCGGAAGCAGTCTTATTAAAGCCTGGACTGGAATTATCGGCTTCACGGGCGATTTGATGCCTCTTGTTGGACGAGCCCCTGAGTCAAAGGTTGAGAAAGATTCAGGGGAGTGGATGGCTGCTGGGTTCTGTGGCGAGGGCATGGTATATGCTTGGCTTTGTGGGACGGCGTTGGCGGTTATGGTTCTTGGTAAGGAGGGTGAGAAGTTGGGGGATGGCGTTGGGAGGCCGGGAGGGAGGTTGGAGGAGTGGTTTCCGGGGGATCTTTTGGGGGTTGATAAGGAGAGGTTGAGGAGGGCTTATATCGCCAATGCTGCGGAGTTTTTTGAGTAGACGCTTGAATATTGCACTGAAGCAATGAGACATGGATTGTTTACTGGTTCAGCTGAGAAATTGTGGTCTGTGATGGGGGATGGTGTGGAGTGAGGCGTTGACGGCTGTCTGCCAGTGCAAGCTAAGGCTTCATGCATCACCACTTTCATCTCACGTGTAATCGATATCCTCCACCTGAGCAGTGCGAGCTTTCTTAATGCTACCTCAATTCATTCAGTTTCTTTCCCTTCTCTTTCTTCACCTTCACACTCACCCTTCTCCAAGAGCTGCTACTCTGCCCCTTTTTGACAACCAAACTGTAGCAACTCCATTCCAATGTCACTCCTCAACATGATGCCCGAAGAACGCATAGACTCATGGCGCCAACGCGTTCCAAGCCGTATCGATCGCGAAGATCCCTTCGAAGGAGACCACTTCGACGAACGTCCCCCCACACGCCTCGTAACACCCCCCCCCCCCTTTTTCGAGTATCCTCCTCAACGCTAACCATATATCATCAGACTTTTCGAGATGTTTCTCCCCCCGAAGTTCGACCTTCTACGCGCCTGGGCTTCTTCCGCGCTGCAACTCCGCTGTTTGGGCGTAGTTCAACACCCTCTTCTACCCGTCCTGATTCAAGCATGATGCAGAGACGTGCTGAGGGGAAGCGAAGGAGTTTGCTGAGTTTGCTTAGTCGCAAGAGGAAGAGAAAGGAGCCAGAGGAGATCCCTCGGGATCCTGTCCGTTTGAACTTTTTGTTTGTTGGGAGTAAAGCCGCTGGACAGACATCTTTGCTATTGTGAGTTTCCCAAAGTTTGTGTTATTGTATCTGCTGACGTCGTTAACCAGTCGATCTCGCTATGGGTACTTTCCTGATGTGAGTTAAGCATCAACCCGAGTGAGCTTCTACTGATATTCAATAGTCAAATGCTTTTTCTCGTCCTCTGTATGAGACCTACGTCAACGATCGTATCTACCACAACCAGCCTGTACGCATGGAGCTGTAGGACACCTCTGGCGTACCAGACCTGAACGTCGTTGAAAAGCTGACCTATATCGAATGGGACGCTGTGTTTCTCTGTTTCGACATCTCGGATAAGATATCCATGTACACAATCATCCAATGGGTAAGTCCAATGTGTCACTGAAGTTGAGACAAGACTAACTGGAGTAGTGGCATCACGCTTCGAATCAGGGCTTCACCAAATCTGCGAGTTTTGAACCATTGCTGTACCTCATCGGTTTGAAGAAGGATTTGCGTGATCAGTGCTTTTTGGAAGATCATCGAACTGGCTCTGCGTTCTCGTCTTCTGGGCTGTTGGCTTATCCGACTTGCTGTATCTGTTCATCAGAGGTAAGTTCTCAAATCCAGTTGAGGCCCTCAATAAAGTTTCTGACCTTTTTAGGCAAACTGGCAAGCATCTCGAATTGGAGCACACAAATACATCGAATGCTCGGCTGCGACTGGTGAAGGGATGAAGGAGGTCATCGATGACTCTGGTAGAGAGGCGATGAGAAGACTTGTTGGAGGGCAAGTGCCTGAGGATGAGGTTGTTCCCAAGAAGAAACGCCGTTTCTTCTGAAGTGTCTGAGTACAAGGACGTGGTTCGAATGTCAAGTGACAGTAGGACTCTTGCTTATTGATTGCTGAATAGGGCTTGTATTAAGGGAAGCGTTGTGATGCGAAGCGCACATTTTGACTCAAGGGATTTTTGAGCTGGAATTTTAGAAGCAACCGTTCCCGGCGTTTCTGGTAAGGATGTGCTCTGAGATAATATTGGCCTGTACGACAATGGATGGATGTAGTTCAGCGATATCGAAACTTCAATGGTTGATCCAGGGTAGTTCAATTCATTAGTATATGTCAGTTCAGCCACTTCATGATCCCGATCTTTATAGCAATGACGGTTGCAGATATAAATTCAGAGGCCAAAGAAAGAATAGGCCTCTTAGAAAAAAGTATATGCTTGGTATTGGGTCCAATATGGTTGGATATGTTTGGGGCGATCGTATGCATTTTTACTTACTTCAGTGTTGATCTTCTTGATTCGCAAACTGAACAGTTGGGCTGGCCAGTGCCACACGTAAAGTCCACTTGTAACTTGATCACTTCGAAAGGCGCAGATGAGTACTTGTACGATAGACTAAAAAATAAAGCAAAGTCACCATTTAATCATTTTCTTAACTTCGGGTCGGGTATGTTATTTCACTTCTTTAGACAGTTTGTTTTGGTGTTTTGATTCGACCTCCAAGTGAGTTTGGATTCAGAGCGTGAAAACGAAAGGCCCACTTGTCAAGATCAATCTCAAACCCACTCACCTCTAGATTCAAGGACGGTAGCATCTTAAATTCCTAATCTACCATCAAGACTACTTAACGCAAACATGGTGATGATGATCGCTGCCGCCGGCATAGGGCTTGCCATAGGCGCCCTTGCCTCACGCCAGCCTCTTGTGGCCTTTCTCACCACTATGTCCCTCTACATCGTTACCCTGCTCATTGTGTTCACTGTAAGTCAAATCTCACAACCCATTCCAAATCTTACAATCTAATACTAACCAAAAAAAAAAAATCAAGGCCTTTCATATTCGAGTCATCAGACGTCGCCGCAGAACAGTAGATGCCAAACTGGCTTCTCTCAACCAACGTCGCACCCCCTATGACTACCGTATCTTCGTCCTGGGCTCTGGAGGTCACACCAAGGAGATGCTCATGATGATGGACGATGGCTTCTGTAACTTTGACGGTTTTCACCGACGATATCTGATCTCTTCTGGTGATACCATGTCGGAGGATCATCTTGAAGATTACGAAGCAGACCTGAAGACACTGTGTGCTGCTGAGGGCACCAACCCAGGAGCATACGATGTTTTCACCGTCACTCGTGCGCGCCGTGTTCACCAATCACTCCTGACTACTCCCTACACAGCATTTCTCAGCATGGTCAGCATCTTCCCGGCTCTGTTGACTCCGCCACCCAAAGTCGACGGGGTTGAGCTCGTGCATCCTACTTGTATCTACTCCAACGGACCCGCGACTGGCTTCTTCGTCGGCCTGGCAGTGCACCTCCTCAAGATCCTGGGAAAGATACCTGAGAACTCGATGCACTTCATCTACATCGAGTCATGGGCACGTATCAGCACCCTGAGTCTAACTGGCAAGCTCTTCTACTACACCGGCATCGCGGACGTTTTGGTGCAGCACAAAGAAGTCGCTGAAAAGTACGGACTCAGAAACTGTGGCGAGATGGTCTTTAACGCTCGGCGACCGGATGTTTCATCGACAGATGATAAGATGCTGGGGTGAGATCCCAATCCAAGAATCTCTTGGAATATGCGTTTCTGCTTTTTGATACATAGACAATAAAGGTTACATGGTTTGTGTACATGACGGGTATCATCCGCCCTCCCTGATATTATTATATCAAGGTGATTTCTTGCCCTCAACAGCCTCGGCCTTTGCCTCTGGCTCTGCATCATCTGAGATATTCTCCTCAACCTCCTCAAGACCAAAGTCCTCAATCTCCGAGTTGCGACTCGCCTCTTGTCGCTCTGTCTCCTTTCCAGCCCAGACCTTCCAGTTCTCGAACTCTCGGTCCTCAAGAGTGTGCGAAACATCAATGCGGGACTTGCCAAAGTAAGCGCCTACGTGCTTGGCTTCCTCGAGGGCTACTCGCTTCTCGATCTCTTCCTCTTGGCGTAGACGGTAGAATTCGCGGCGTGTGATATCGTATGCCTTTCGCTTTCCAAGCTTTTCATTCTCCATCAACCACAACTGACGCTGAACAACACTATAAACTGTTAGCTTAATCCCATCAGGCCATATCCTCGGAGAACCTACCATTCACCCGATAAAGGAATATTAGGCTGTCTCAAGCCTTTACTCCAATCACAGTGTTGATAATCCTTTCCATCCGACTCAAGAATAACACGAGGTCTCGCCAACTCCCAAGGATGATCTTTGTAGAAAGTTGTTCGCAGCGCATCTTCAGTATACGATATCCTTTGAGGTCGATACATGTTCTTTGGCTTGGTGGCTTTGGGGTTGGGCGCTCTGTGTCGGGGAGTGACGGTTCGGACGAGTGTCTCGGCGGGAGGGACGGATTGCATGATGTTATACCATGGCGGCGTAGGGATGGATTTGCTGCCGAGGACGTTGTGGTTGAGCTCTTCCGTGACGGTTTGTAGGACCCTTGCGGGTCGGATCTGTCTGCCTCCCATGGTCTATTCTGCGGCAGGGTTAGTAGAGCTTCAATTGAGTATGGTGATGTAGATAGAGGCGGCCTTACGGTATCAATTGACGCTCTAATTGGGAGTAATGTCACGCGGGACCTGGCTTGAGCCTCAATGTCGTGGTGGTGAGTGGAAATTTTGGAGATGCATCGGTAAATCTTAACGCCGACGTGGGATGTTGACAATAAAGGTCAGCCACTATACATGCTATCAGGGAACTGTAAGTTTATACTTAAACTTGACCATAAGAGAAAACAGTCGACAATGTATATACCATTCAGAAAGAACCTTGAGACAAAGTACCATATATAATCAAGCATATTGTTCTAACATTGTATAATTTCTTACCATCGCCTTATCTCTTATTCATCTTGTATGATGTAGTGCGGCTTTTATTTTCACCCACCATCTGGGGTATCTCCCGTAGCTCGGCGCGAATGACAATGTAGCAAAAAACCATCTCGAAAAAAGGTCCCACTTACAAGAACAAGCCTCCCGTCTCAACTTCCGCTGGCATTAGCTCTTCCTGAGAGAGATTGCCGATCTGATTTCTTTCTCAGCGCCATTTCACTTATCCAAACTTTTTCAGACGTCACTATTCGAGGCAATCTTTTCGCTCCGCAAAAGACGTCGCAGCATCATGAGGAGGAGCTCATGAAAGTCTCTAGTCGATTAGACGGCTCCCTCTGTGCGGTGCTTTCGAACCGACCGTCGGCCAGTTTTGGGGTTACTACCACAAGGAGGAGTCTCTGCACTGCGAGAGAGGCTGGAAAAGAGACGCAGAGAAAAAGATTGAATTCGAGTTCCACGCCCTCATGCTCGAAAAGCTCGTTATGGCTTCTCTCGACGTTTTCGCCCGCCATCGAGGCTCGACGTGCCTTGCCTATCCGTTGCTCCCGACATGTTTTGAACAATTATAGCACCGCTTCCGCCGCCGTCGCACCGATACCTCCGATACATCAGAGATTTCATACCCAATACGGTCATGACCCTCGACACCTCATGGATCTTGTGCCACAGGAAGATGCGGGAACGGTTGAAGAGCACTTGGAGTACTATCGGGATCCATACCGCAGAGGATATGCTCACGCAGACGGCCAGAGAGTACAAGTGTCGGAAAACAAACGGGATGTCGAATATCCGACGGCGGAGGAAACTTTCAAGACTGATGACGAGACGAAAAGGTTGATCGCAAAATTATGCCATGCCATATCGTACAAGCTCCGCCATCCATACCGAACAAACCTCGAACCTATATACGACATGTACCTTCAGCTTCCCGAACCAAGGATGTTGTATCTCACCTGGCCATGGCGGAATAGGTTATTGAAAGTTATGGGTACACCTCCAAAGCGAAACTCGGAGTCGATGCTGCGTTACTTTGCGTTGGTCTCTGATGTCAAAAACGCAGGATTGACACTGCGACGGGCGCATTGGAACTATGCTCTGGCATTTGCAACCAAGTATTCAGCTCGTGTGACGTCGACCGAGATGGATACTGCTCTGAGGTTGTGGAAAGAGATGGAGCGATCAGCCAACGTCAAGGGAAACGAAGTTACGTTTAATATTTTGTTCGATGTTGCCTCAAAAACCGGAAATTTTACTCTTGCGGACATGATTTACAAAGAGATGGAAAGCCGGGGTTTTGAGTACAACCGATACCATCATGTTAGTCTGATACACTATTTCGGACTCAAAATGGACTCGAGTGGAATTCGGGCTGCCTACAAAGACATGGTTGAGGCTGGTGAGATGATTGACACTGTTGTGCTCAATTGTGTAATATCAGGCCTGTTGCGATGTGGCGAGGAGTCAGCAGCAGAAGTGACATATGAGAGGATGAAGTCCGGTCACGAAATGGCGCCGAATATCCCGGATAGGGACTACGGGATGGGTCGGGTCATTACCAAGGTGTTGATGATGTTTACAAGAATTGGCAAGAAGCATCCCGAACTTCAAAAGCCGTTGCAGACACAAATGCAGCTCTCGCCAAATCTTCACACCTACAAGCTTTTTGTCGAGCACTACTCGGTCAAAGTTGGGGACTTGGCCAAGGTGGCACAGTTTCTTGATGAGATGAAGTTTCTCAAGATTCCCATTCACGCAACGATCTTTCTGTCCTTATTCAAAGGATTCTACTCTCATGGTGGCTTTGCTGGCTCTGAATGGAGTGAGCAGCGACTCGACGGAGTGCTGAAGGCAATGTGCCAAGCAAGAGACGAAAGCATCAGAGGGTTTTCCATCGATAGATGGTTGGTCATCTGGGCCTTGCGAGCAACCAAGAAGTGCTGCTCAAATGAGACCGTTATCGAAGTGTACGATGAGATGGAGAAGCGCTGGGATATTCCGCTGGACCGACAGCCATTTATCGAGTCCATTCTTCAGAGCATTCTTGACGGCGCAGACATGAAGTCGTCGACTGGTCAATGGGAAGGCCCGTCGTATCGAAGATATAAAAAAGATGGAACGAGATTATGATGTAACAGTAGATTTTGTACCACCATGTACTTTAACTTAGAATAATACCCCGGGGCTCTAGTGTTCTGTATATTAAGATCCGGTTGGCTGGGAACTGCATAGCTAGCGATTGTCATAATCGCAATTTCACGTATGGTTCGATATAGCTGATGGTCGAACAAATGAAATTTCGAATCAAGAGTCGAGAATGACTGATGTCTATTTCGGTTATTTACACCACATTCCACCTCCAGGTTTCCCAGTCTTTCAACCAAACAGCAAATCCAATCCGTAGGCGACGAATTTACTGGGGCTTGTAGGTCTGGTAGACTGCGCAGCTCGTTAGCATCGTGTATCGGAGAACATCGGGATGGAAACCACGCACCAGCAATGCCGAAGGGAGCGAAGAAACCGGTGGCCATGAAGGTCCAGTATCCAAGGCCGAACCACTTGCTTCGGGGGTTGAAGGGGATGTTGCTGTAGGCGCCCTCGGGGTAGTGGTAGGGCGAGGACATGCGAGCGCGGGTGGTCTGGAAACCTCGCTTGGTGACCAGAGAGGTCGTGGTACGGGCGGCGGCGCGGGAGAGCATCTGCGGGAGCGAGTAAAGGGTCAATTCGGTTCGCGAGAGTTGGGAGAGTAGTGGTGAGCTGGTCAATGGCTCGAAGGTCGACGTACCTTGACGTTGAGGAGTGGAGATTGGGAGATGGAAGCTTGGGTATGTGTCAGTGATGATAGCATCCGAGGTCAGAGATGGTGGTCTGAGGTTTGGAGAGCAAAACGCTAGTAGGTCACGTGTAGAGGTACTTTGTACTTTGCTGACATGAAACCTCCAATCAATTGTGATTGGATCGTAAGTTTGGAGAGACATGACGTCGGTTCTAACCGCAGTGGACTGGGCAAGTAAAAAGCATATTTCTGGACATTTCTGTAAAAGATTATGTAAACTGTCTACCAAATTTATAAGAAGATATACCATGAGATCGCTGGAATAATGCAATACTTTGATATATAGCCCAGCCTTACTTATAAAAATAAAAAAACAGATTTTGGGATACGTTGACACCTATTCCCGGTCCATGCTGTAGACATTCACCGCCCCCAGCTCTTCCAGGGGGATTTTTTTTTCTGCCGCACCCAACCCACTTCCCATCAACCAACTTTTTCTAATTGCCTAGGCCCGTGTACCACAAATTGGGACGATCGATCGATTGCTCGCTCGTGTTGTACTGGACGACAAGCTCACGCCTATTTTTTTCGACGAGCTTTTCTGCCTTGCGTACACGAAAAGGCAACATTTCAATTTTCACATAATAAATTTACCCCGAGCTACTAAGACGCGACTCGAATCTGCCACTCGATCTCGATCACTTTTCACTGTAACTAGCGATCGGAAGCCGATCGCGGTGAAACACCGTCCAGCATGGATGAGATGTTTGATGTGTTCGAGGGCAAGGTGGACGCCCCGAGCGCGAGCGAAGATGAGAATGTGCCGAATCGCAAGGGTGACACGAAAAAGAGAAAGGCAAACGCGATAAATGGCGAGAACGGCGATGCTGCGAAAACTGAAGATGTTGACATGGACGCCAAGACCGAGTCTTCAAAAGATGGAGACTCTTCTGACGATGAAGAGTCTTCGGAGAGTGCTAGTCAGCAGGAAAACAAACGACGGAAGAAGGAGGATGGTGTTGGTCCTGTCATGACAGATACTTTCCAGACAGCCGAGTCAAGAGAAGTTGCCGGCGCAGCTACTTTCACAGAGCAGGATTCATCGCTTGTTTTGTCGCACAACATTCAGCATCAGGTTGCCCTGCCTCCGGATCTAGACTACGAATACGTCCCCCTTTCCGAGCACAAGACCCCCGAGCAGCCCGCGCGAACATGGAACTTCAAGCTCGATCCTTTCCAGAGTCTTTCCGTGGCGTCTATTGAGAGAGAGGAGAGTGTGCTTGTTTCCGCGCATACTTCTGCCGGAAAGACTGTTGTGGCTGAGTATGCTGTCGCGCAATGCTTGAAACGCAACCAAAGAGTCATCTACACAAGTCCCATCAAGGCTCTAAGTAACCAAAAGTACCGAGATTTCGAGGCCATCTTTGGAGATGTTGGTCTCATGACTGGTGATGTTACTATCAACCCTACAGCAAGTTGTCTTGTCATGACGACTGAGATTTTGCGATCTATGCTGTATCGCGGTTCTGAGATTATGCGAGAAGTCGCTTGGGTTGTCTTTGATGAGATTCATTACATGAGAGACAAGATAAGAGGTGTCGTATGGGAAGAGACCATCATCATGCTTCCCGACAAGGTCCGATACGTCTTCCTTTCTGCCACTATTCCCAACGCTTTCCAATTCGCCGAATGGATTGCCAAGATTCATCATCAGGCCTGTCACGTTGTGTATACCGATTTCCGACCTACTCCTCTACAGAACTACTTCTTCCCCTCAGGTGGCACTGGCGCTCGTCTCATCGTTGATGAGAAGAGCAACTTCAATGAGCAGAACTTCAACAAGGTCATGCAAGAGGTGGAGGAAAAGAAGGGCGCTGATCCTAATGATCCTACTGCTCGTCAGAAAGGAAAGGGCAAGAACAAGAAGACTAACAAGGGTGGCGCCGACAGTGGATCGGATATCTCCAAGATTATTCGAATGACTATCAAGAAGAAGTTCAACCCTGTCATTGTTTTCAACTTTAGCAAGCGAGAGTGTGAAAACCTGGCCATGAACATTTCGTCACTCAGCTTCAACGACGATTCTGAAAAGGCAATGGTTCGAAAGGTCTTCAACAGCGCTATTGAGAGTTTGGCAGAGCAGGACCGTGAACTCCCTCAGATTATGAACTTGCTACCTCTTTTGGAGCGAGGTATTGGTGTCCATCACTCTGGTCTGCTACCTATTCTCAAGGAAACTATTGAGATTCTCTTCCAGGAGTCCCTCATCAAGGTTCTTTTCGCGACTGAGACCTTCTCCATTGGTCTTAACATGCCTGCCAAGACTGTTGTTTTCACCCAAGTCACCAAGTGGGATGGTGTTAAGAGACGCCCCCTCACTTCATCCGAGTACATTCAGATGGCTGGACGTGCCGGTCGTCGTGGTCTTGATGCTCGAGGTATTGTCATCATGATGATTGACGACAAGCTTGAGCCCGATACCGCCAAAGAGATTGTCACCGGCCACCAAGATCGACTCAACTCTGCTTTCTACCTCGGTTACAACATGATTCTCAACCTTCTTCGTATTGAAGCTATTTCACCCGAATTCATGCTGGAGCGATGTTTCCATCAATTCCAGAATGCGGCTAGCGTCCCGTCTTTAGAGAAGGAATTGATGTCATTACAACAAGAACGCGACAACACCAGCATTGCCGACGAGGCCACAGTCAAGGACTACTATCAGATTCGACAGCAGCTCAGCGCTTATACCAAGGATATGCGCACTGTTATCCAGCACCCTAACTACAGTATTTCTTATCTGCAGCCAGGTCGCTTGGTGCAAATCTACAACCCCAAGGACGAGAATGAGACGATTGCTGGAACCGGAACCGACTTTGGCTGGGGTGTTATTGTCAACCAAACCCCTCGCCGCGCACCCAAGATGGGCGAGCCTGAATATGCGCCTCAGGAATCCTATATTATTGACGTGCTTCTCCCCATCTCTCGATCAAGCGCGGATTTCTATCCCACTCAGCCTGTCGAAGAGGCCCCTATGCCTGTTGGCCTCAAACCTTTCGGCGACGACGACGACGTCAAGTTTGCGATCGTCCCTTGTCTTCTAACTTGCATTAAGGCTATTAGTCAAATCAGGCTTTTCCTACCCAAGGAAGGTCTCAAGTCTGAATCAGACAAGGAGACGCTCACGAAGTCTTTGATGGAGGTCAAGCGCCGCTTCCCTGATGGTCTGCCTGTCCTGGACCCTATCGAAAACATGGAAATCGCCGATGATTCGTTCAAGAAGCTTCTTCGCAAGATCGAAGTCCTCGAGTCCCGACTTTTGGCCAACCCTTTGCACCTCTCACCCCTTCTCCCCGCTCTTTGGGATCAGTACCACGCCAAGGTCAAGCTCACCGAGAAGGTCAAGGAGACCAAGAAGGCCATCGCCAAAGCATACAGTATCGCCCAGATGGACGAGCTCAAGTCTCGCAAGCGAGTGCTGCGACGTCTCGGCTTTATTAACGATTCCGAAGTCGTCCAGCTAAAGGCTCGCGTCGCCTGTGAGATTTCCTCCACCGAAGGTCACGAGCTGCTTCTTTCCGAATTGCTCTTTGACCGGTTCTTCAATGAGCTTACTCCTGAGATGTGTGCTTCTGTCATGAGTTGCTTTATCTTCGATGAGAAGATTGAAACAACAGCGCTCAAGGAGGAGTTGTCAAAACCTTATCGTGAGATCCAGGCCAAGGCTCGCATTATTGCAAAGGTCAGCCAGGAATGCAAGCTTGAGGTCAACGAGGAGGAATATGTCCAGAAGCTCAAGTGGCAGCTCATGGAGACGGTCTACGCGTGGGCCCAAGGCCGTCCTTTCATCGAGATTTGGTAAGCCCTCCTCCCCTTCCATAATCCTGAGTAGTACAGTTACTAACACCCCCTAGCAAAATGACAAAGGTCTACGAAGGCTCTTTGATCCGCCTCTTCCGTCGTCTGGAAGAGCTGCTTCGCCAGATGGGCCAGGCCGCCAAGGTCATGGGCAACGATGATCTAACGAAGAAATTCGAAGACAGTTTATCCAAGATTCGTAGAGATATTGTGGCCGCACAGAGCTTGTACCTATAAAACGGGGGAAATATCATGTAATGTATTTTTTCTATACTTTTCACCGGCTTGGGAGTCTGGCGTGTCGGGGAAAAAAAAAAGAGATGTAGTATACCTCAAGCTCGAGGGATTAGGAATAAGCCTATGCGAACCTTAGTCAAAGTGATACCTCAATTAATAGAATGCATGCCCAAGCTCAGGTTAAGTTGTTGAGCAATCTTAGAACCTATAAGAAGTGGTATAAGTTATTTAGAACCGACAAAGGCTCAAGACTAATGTCATGAGACGTGGTTTGGATCGCTGTGGCATATTCTGTCCGTTTCTCCTGCCCTCAAGAGCAGTATGTATAATGCCTATAAACACATAACGCCATCCGTCCGCTGTAGCCCATGTTTTGGCATGACCTCAGCGCCCAAAGTCAACGCCTGAAAACTCGATAACCCCAAGCCAAGCATGCTACCGTTGCTACCGCTGAAGCACCGAACAAGATATGGGCTGTTTCAAGGCTCTACTAAGGCCGATCTCCTGACAGCTCCATGATGAAACCAATAACAAGACTAAAGACAACTCCGAAACCAACGAATATCTGCCATCTCTTACTCCAGATACCTTCCTGGCGCATCAACCATGCTAGACTTCCTAGTGGGAAGAAGAAGCCGACCATCATGGCTTTGAATAGTATTTCGAGTACGGAAGCCATGCCGGAATTTTCGTCTTCGAGTGGATTAGACCCGGACGGGATTCCTTCGGCGTTGTTATCGATCCATGCATCCTCCATGTTGCGCAGGGTGTCAGGCGATGGCATGGCGTCTGGTGTGAAGCGCGATGTATGTATGGATGTAAACTGTGTCCTTAAAGTTGCGATTTCTGAAGGCGAAAATCCAGACTGTAACAATCGGTCGAATCCCCGTGGTCGCGGCCTCGTTGAAGTCGTAGGTTTCGAACCATCACCAGTCGCTTCTTTCGGTGGCTTTAGCGCCTCCTCCTCTTCCTTCTTCAACTCCTCACTCGTCAACTCATCACCAATGGAGCAATTAACATAGACCCGCGACACATTCGCACCCTCAACAGCCTTTCCTTTTCCCTTCGGATCATCGTTGGTGCGCGGCGGCGCAGGATGTGGTTTGAGAACAGAGCTTAGCGCCGAAGCGTCGGGGAGCAGATGACCTTGATGAATGAGACGTAATCGACTTTTGGAGGATAGTCTTGTGCGGAGGAGGTGTTTGAGAGCGAGGACGGTTGTTGTTTGGGGTGAGGGGATGTCGAGTTCGAGATCTGGTTGAGATGTTGTGAAGCGGATTGTGAGATGGAGGGGAGGAGGGAGAGGGTGTGATGATGAAGGTTGAGAGGTCATGATGATGGCATTGTTTGCAAGTTAGAGATGAAATTGTGACAGAAGCTGAAAGATAGAGTCAGACTGTGGGAATGAAGTTGTGCTGTAGATGCTACAATGTGTGTAACATGTAACAAATAAAGCTGAAGCTAAGTGAAGCTGGGTGGTGACGTGACCTCCACTTGCCGACCTTCTAGAAGGATGCTTTACAGGGCTGAGGCAGAAGCTCGCATGCTGAAGCCTATGTCTTTATTGTCCTCAAAACATCATTATTAGATATTAAGATTGAGAATATTTAGAACAAGACCCCTATTCTCTTTTATCTCAATCTTTATGACAGACAGACATACCTTACCTACTATTCACATGAAAGATATCTTGCAGAAAAGCCAGCAGCTCTTGTTGCACCTTAGGACAAGGGTCTGTAACTGCGGCCCCTCTCCTCTGCAAGGGTTCCTGAGCCTCTAAAAATCTCCCGACCGCCCGGCAGAAACACCCCAAACAACCGTCATCAACCTTGATTTGTTTTTTGCGTCGATCAACAACAAGCTTGTTAGAACTTTTTTTTCACATCACCATAATTTTCATCCCCTTGCTTTGTTCAATAGGGCGATGGTATTGAAATTATGCCGCGCCTGCGAGGGACCAGATATTTGACCTGCTTTTATTGCGGGAAGCGGTCCAACACAAGATATGACGGCATCACGCAGGAGTTTCTATGCCTATCATGCGATGCGACAAACTACCTTGATGAAGTATGATGACCACGTTCATGTTTTGATGCAGTTGCTGATGAAGTTAGAATGGGGAGATTACGGATCCTCCAGTAGCTACCGAACGTGAAGCTCCCGCAACGCAATACGCTGTTCCTCGACATTCCCCTCCGTCCTCCCCAAAAGAGAGTATCTTTTGCGCAACATGTCTGAAGAACCAGCGGCTATTTACGTCATCACTGGCGCAGTATCTTCCCGACGATACAAACCACCCCGATTACCCGGAACTCGAGCGGAATTACTACCGATACCGAAAGGGGTTGGAGGAACGATATCCTCAAGTTTGCGATGACTGCGCCGAGAGGGTTGATGGTCAGATCCGACGGGCAGGATATACGGCCAAAACGGATCATCTTCGAAGGATGATGGAGAAGAGCAGAGGAAGAAAGAGTACCCCTGAAAAGAAGGGTGCTCTAGACTGGGCTGATAGCTTGGGTAAGGGGCTGTGGTGGGGAGGATTGGCGATGCAGATGCTGTGGCATCTAAGAGCAGTCACTTTGGCGTTGGAACATCAAGATGTTGGGATGTACGATCCGGACGATGTTAGCTGGTCGACGCTGGCTGTGAAGGGTCTCGGCTTGGCTGTGGCATTTCTTCCCCCAGCAGATACCCTCATCAACAGCGCGGTTGTTGCAAGCATACTGTCGGCATGGTGGAATCCTCAGTTCGTGCAAGTCAGCCGAGGCTTCACAAGACATCTCCTGGGTTTTACGCAATGGTATGCTTTTCAGGGGCTGATCGTCTTCTTCCGCTTCCTATTCCGCCGGGTACTTGAGATGGATGGAGGACAGGCTCAATCGCGGAACGCCCAACTTAGCGCGCACTTGGTTATGTCAGTTGTTATGGTCATGGTAAGTTATCCCGAAGAAGCTACGCCTTCAAGGAATTGTACTGATTTGTTCAGATATATTCTGCCGCAAAAAGGTCTATTAAAGTCGATACCACACCCCTTTTCGGTACCTCAAACACGACATATTCACCACCGAAGCAGCCTAAGATTACTCGGACCAAGAGAGAGGAACCAAAGACCTTCTCAGAATTGTTGAATGAAGCTTTAGACTCCCCTACGGCAACACCTCAGCCAGATCGGTTCAACCCATCACCTATCAGGACATTTTCACCACCACCACTGCCCCCTGGTAATTCTTTCAAGGCCCCAGGAAGCACTCGCACCCAATTCAACGCTCTCAACATCACGCCTCGAAAGACACAAGACTTTGGATATTCGGACGAGATGGATTGGACACCGACCGAATCCCAGACTCAACCTCAATCACCGTACCGAGCTTTCCAAGATACGACCCCCTCGAATGGACCTAGAAGGCCGTTCGGAGAGGCGCCCGTGAGCGCTGAAACAAGCCCGTTTTGGTACAAGGTTCCTGCTGCACCGACGAACCCATCCCAGCGTCTACGAAACCCTCCTAACGCGCCAATTATAAGAAGCAAGCCGGCACAGCAGGAGAGTATTTTCTTCCGAGGCGCGGCGAAGAAGACAGATGAGAATGAAGATGACGAACGTGAAGTTTCATTCAAGCCGCCCAGCTTCTTTGCGCCTCAACGCAGTAATGACGAGGCTAATGGTTTGGCTGATCTCTTGAGCCAGAGCTTTACTTTGGGAAAGGAACAAAGCTATCCTGATGAATCTTCAGGAGGCTCCGCACCCAGACGGAGTTCTGACACTCGTGTGTCTCCTGGTACACCTCAATTCGACAACCTTGGTGTTGAATTCACTGCTTTGGCTGCATTGTTCGTTTTCTGGGGTCTCACTGTAGCAGTTTCCATGCCTTTCGGACGGGAAGTCCAGCTCGCATTGTTATCAGCAGTAGGGATTATTGCATTGCGAGAAACAGGCGAAACAAGCCGAGAAATAAGACTCCCTACCACAGCGACATACATCAGCTCTGCGCTGAGTGTAGTCGAGTTGGCAGCGGTCTGCTGGCTGGGATGGGAGGTTTTTCAGGAGAATGAAGACGCTGGCAAGTACGGCGTTGGACTATTGACGACAATGCTTGGGCATCAGGTTTGGAGTACTATGGTTTGAGTTTTATGCATAGATAGAGAGGGCGGTTTATGTTGTTCAGGAATATCATGTGCAGGCGTTGGATGAGAAACGAAGTATTTTATGAACATGATGGCTGGTTGGAATGAGATACCAGATGAGTCATGTCGAGATACCAATGAAACTATTGACAATCAAAGTTGCTTTTGTGTGCAGTTATCACAATGAAACTTGAATGGATATGCAGTTATGACTTATTGTATTCTTGATTCCTCTTCTGGGATCTTTGCCCTCGAGACACTATCTCATGTGCTATTTCTCTATTATCCAATCTTCAGCCTAACCCTCAAAAGGGGTCTCATAAGGCCTCTCAGCCTGTGGTGTGATGCGAGCAAGATGTCTTCGCTGACCAGAGTGCCAGTCAAGAATAGCCGTATGCTGAACTGATCGGTTATCCCAGACAACAACAGTCTTCTCCTGCCATCTCACACGAGCGTGGAAGTCTGCGCCCCAAGCAATGTGCTCATACAAGAAATTGAGAATAGCATCAGACTCCTCCTTCTTAAGACCGACGATGCTGCGTGTGACTGGCGATTATTAGCTTGTTTCTTCAAGTCTTGCATGAGGTAACTTACACTGAGGGTTTACGAAAAGCGACTTCTCTCCCGTAACAGGGTGTGTTCGCACAATAGGATGCTCATTAACAACCGGCTCCCTCCGCTTAATACTTCCCTTCTTCACACTAGCATTGACCTGCTCAATACCAGAATGCGTCGCCTTGAGTCCATGCAACAACTTCTGAAACGTCGGCGACAATCTGTTATACGCCTCAACAGTATTCGCAAACAGTGTATCACCACCAGTGTCGGGGTTATCGAGAACATAAAGAAACGTTGTTCCAGGCGGCTGCTGCTCATACGTAATATCAGAATGCCACGCCACAGAGCTCACGCGCGTCTTGAAGAACTCCTCGTAAGATTTATCACCCGCGCTTCTATGCACGAGGTGAATCTCAGGATGGCCCTCTGGCGAACCAGATGTAGGATGAATATGATGACGACCAAAATAACCACCGAACTTTAAGGCTTCAGAGATAGGGAGGTCGGCGAAGTCTTGGTTGCGGAAGGCGACGACTTTACGCTCGGCGACGTAGCGAGCTAGTTCATCTTTTCCGGCGTCGGAGAGACTGCTTAGTTGGACGCCTTCGATTTCAGTGCCGATTGTGGGTGTGAGATGGGAGATCTTTGTGGTGGACTTGAGGAGGTTGGGGAATGTTGGGTCTGCGTCTTTGCCGTGCTCGTAGTGCTCGAAGGGCTCGAGGGGAGGGTAGACTTGGTCTTTGTTCCATGTTGGAAGATAGTTTGGGTACTGAGAGGCTAGCGTTAGTATATGGAGTATGGGTAAGTGGTGGGAGGGATTACCTTTGCGGCGGCGTGGCCGTCAATGCCCTTCTCTTCTGCTTCACGACGGTAGGCGACCGGGGATAACTCCTTGTAAACGCCCTCGACGTGGCCGGGGTAGAGCTTGATCTTTTGGGCATCGGCTGCGGGAGCCTGGGTCTCAACAGCTGAGGGTGCCATTGTGTATAGTTGCTATCAAATATTGTATAAGTCTTTGATACGGGTTTAACATTAAATGCGTAGTTCACTTGGAGCTATACGGCCTTTATATACATCACTCACTCCTCATCTGACAAATACCATTCCCATCCAATTCGCAACGCGGAGGAAGCATACTTCCGCAATACAGAACTCGCAATGACGAACAGTAATTGTCAACCATTGTCATCATCCAAAGACATCGACCTGAAGCCATTGCGCAAGCATCGCATCTATTGCGTTGACCGATGAGACGCGAATCAAATCACGCAACGACCGAGAGGGACGGAGATTGCAACATGAAAATGCAGAGTAACTTGGCGATCTGTGAGTATTTATCACGGCGTTATAGCATAGTATTGCGCAATATCGGATCTCGTGGTTGAACCGTTAGGGGTGGTGTTGAGTTGGCGCAATGTCTGGGGATGGGTCACGCAATATGACTATCACTCGGGGTTATCAAGACGGGATATCGATGTCTCGGATGTCGGGCATAAGTCTCTAGAAGTTCAAAATGCCTATGGAATGAGTTTTGAAGGTATCATAATTATATGTGGCTCAAAATCTGAGAGTTGCAGTTGTCTAAGATATCTCTATCTCCGGGGAAATGGCCATATAGAATAGTCTACCACAGCAACTCGATTTCAACTATCCGTGCAAATGCCCCATAGCACCTTTCAACTACCGATCCATGCCAAGTCCGAAGATTTCTCCATAAAGAAGCCTAAATATTCTCGTTTCACGGCATCTCGGTCGGATCTCTCAGCGATTGGTCCCTACCGCGAGCACGTCATGCCTCTATTCATATGAGATAGGACAAACCTCCGGACTCGACCATCACTAGTTCCAAAGCACTCCATATCTTGTACCAATTGTAAGCTTAAATCTCTTGACTTATCGAGAGATGATTATTGGCTCTTTGGCTGTGGCTCATGGGCTAGATCGAAACCCCCAAGTTTAACAGAAGCTGTTGTAGCTTGATCCCTTGGCTACGTTGGCTCATCATCCCAGCGTCGTGTTACCTTGGAGGCCCTGGAGGCGTCGATTAACCCTGAATCGGCTGGTTACGCCCAGAAAACACACGTTCGCCGAGCCCTGAGGTGATTTTCGTAGTTCATCGCGACATTGATAACCCCCGTGTCTTCTCATAGAGGCATCCCAAGCAGCATGGGGGCAATACTGTTAAGTGTTAGATCAATGTCTAAAAGAATTAGTCTTGGTAGGGGAAATGCCAGCCTTTATAAGTCCAGCGCTGCACCACACAACATCACACCATGTTCGACATCTCCGCGGCCCTCCCTATTATTCTCCTTCTCCGAGGACTTACTTTCTCTCAGTTTCTACTAGTGCTTCCCACTAAGGCACAAAATGGCTGTCGTTGGAGACTCCAAAGGGGTCATCGGCAAGGCTGACTCTGAGGACCCAGGTCGTTTTGACAGCGGTGATGAGACTGCTAATTCGTCAATTGAGCATCCTTTCTCAGATCCAGAGATTGCTGATCGTTGGAGAAAAGTGTATGAGAATGCGCAATATGAGAACCGACATCGGTTTGATCCAAGTTTTACTTGGACTGCTCAGGAGGAGAAGAAGCTTGTTAGAAAGGTACTTTACTCTCCTGCGAAAGACTTACACTACTGCCGTATTGTAGTCTTTGGGGGGTCGGTTTGCTAACATAGACCTTGTGTTCTGTAGATCGACTTTCGCATCTGTCTCTGGGCTTGGGTCATGTTTCTCTCCCTAGACTTCCACCGACGAAATATCAACCGTGCTATTTCCGATAACATGGCAAGTTAATTCTCCGATGCATCTGGGGTGAAATCTTGACTAATAGTTTCTTCTAGTTGCCTGAAATAGGCATGAACACTAACGATTTCAACTACGGCCAAACTGTACGTCACCCCCTGCTCGGCTCGGTGCTTCGACTGACCATTTAGATCTTCCTTGTTTCGTTCCTCTCAGCTGAGCTCCCCAGTGGCTTGATCAGCAAGAAACTGGGCGCCGATAGATGGATCCCTTTTCTCATTTGCAGTTGGTCGCTTGTTGCGGGCTGTCAAGCTGCGCTGAAGAGTAGGGGTGCTTACTTTGCTATCAAGGCTCTTCTGGGTCTTTTGATGGGTGGATTCATTCCGTAAGTCATCCGCACCCTGACATGAGAACATTTACCGACAGAAATAGTGATATTGTTCTTTGGCTCACTTACTACTACAAGTCGAATGAGCTACCCATCAGACTGGCTTTCTTCTGGACTGCCCTGAGCACCAGTAACATCTTGGGCTCTCTTCTTGCCGCTGGTATTCTGCAGATGCGAGGCGTCCTCGGCTGGGGCGGTTGGCGATGGCTGTAAGTACCAAGACTTGCCAACTTCGGGACCTCAAGCTTACATTACTCCCAGTTTCCTGCTTGAGGCGATCGGCACTTTCATCGTCGGCCTCTTCTCTTGGGTTCTCATGCCACCTGGTCCCTGCCAGACAAAGAGCTGGTTCCGCGGTAAGAATGGATGGTTCAATGAACGTGAAGAGTTCATCATGGTGAACCGACTTCTTCGCGATGATCCTAGCAAGGGCGACATGAACAACAGGTATGCTGCCCCCAAAAGATCGATTATACTCATGGACTAACACTATTCACAGAGAGGCTGTCAACCTCCCCAAACTTTGGAAAGCCATCAAGGACTGGGAGCAGTGGCCACTGTACATCATCGGTCTCATGGTGTACATCCCGCCCGCTCCCTTCAACACCTATCTCTCCTTCATCCTGCGTCAAATCGGCTTCTCCGTCTTCGAAGCCAATCTTCTCGCCATTCCCTCACAGTTCCTCTACGCAGTCAATTTGCTCATCATCACCTGGCTTTCCGAGCGCGTCAAAGAACGAGGCATGCTATCATCTCTCTCAAACATCTGGATCTTCCCATGGGTCCTCGCCCTCGTCGTTCTCCCTGGAGACATTTCACCTTGGGTTCGATATGCTCTCATCACAGGTCTTTTGAGCTACCCCTACTGCCATGCTATTCTTGTAGGCTGGAACGCCAAGAACAGCAATAGTGTACGCACAAGAGCTATCAGCGCTGCTCTGTACAATATGTTCGTGCAGACGGGTAATATTGCTGCGTCTAATATCTTCCGTGAGGATGATCAGCCTCTGTACAGGCGAGGTAACAGGGTCATTCTTGGTATCACATCTGTCAATATCGTTTTATTCTATGTAGTCAAGGCTTTCTACATCTGGAGGAATAAGGTCCGTGATAGGAGATGGAATGCCTTGACAAAGGAGCAACAGCAGGATTATATGCTTAATACTACGGACGAGGGTCAGCAGCGTTGGGACTTTAGATTCGCTCACTAGACGAGGGGATACTTGCTACTGACTCCTCGTAAATTCTTCAGACTTCTACATACCAAGTTTCACCTTGAAGGATTTTCAAGACTTCAGTGCTGTAGAATTCTATGAGGAGACAACCAAGATTATATTCTAAAAGTGTACCAAACTTATGCTCTTGACTGAAACCCCAAGATGTTTAGGGAAGTGGAAGCAGCGTGCGTCGGTCTTCAGGGCATTATAATACCATTTCATGGCCACGCATGACCTTCCTGTTTAAGAGTGCATCCATGAAGCAATTAAGGAAAGTTGATGAGAGGCGGTTGGCCAACGCCGTGGCTATTTGACCGAAGCCTCTTTTGAGACATCACCAGGATAGCCTCTTCCGCCACATAAAGTAAGTCACCGCCAAGCTACCCACATGAAGGCATTGTTTGAAATCCTTTGGCGGCAAAAGACATCACTGTTGTGCACGCTTCCACAGTCGCCCAGGTTGTCGGAACGTCGAAGCAAGCCCAATGACGATCAAGATTTCGAAACACAATAGACGATTCAGGCAAGAGTACAAAAAGAAACGAGCACTGAGGCTAGAAGAAATGGAAGGGCCACAGACGACATCTACACGCCGGATACGTGCTGGGGTCGGGGTTGGCGATAGGAGACAACATTCCGAAGTCGCTGGGCCAACTATTGTAGGCATTCGCTTACACGGATCACCGGTCTCTTTCGTGTAAGAGTATTTCTATGACTGATAGTTAGGGTGCGCCACAGGAACGCCTTTGGTTGTGCCAAGTCAATGTCTCAGATGCTGAAGATGCGGGAATAGTCTCAGTTGCAACACTTGTAAGTGAGGTGAGACATTCTACAACACAACACAATTCAGTGTCTCAATGCAGATACACAAACTCATTCGTGATGTTTTGTATATATTGCTTCCTCTTCTCTATGTGATCTTTTGTATCTTCAACCGACCCCTTAAGTCCAATTCCACATCCGCTGCATCGAGTCTAGTCCAGGAACAACTGGAATTTTGCCACGGCCACCAACAAAGGCACGTAAATCTAGAGCAACAATAGCTCAAACTTACATGTCAATCCTCCAGAGTGATTTGGCTTTTCCGGCAGTGATCGAATTGACGGTCACAAGGTATAAGATGACGAGTTCCTCCCGTCTGCGGATGACATGTCTCAGTCTCTCTTTAACCACCACTCCACAAACTTGAAACTCCTGATCTTTTAGATCAATTCCACTCTCTTTAAAACAACATCGGAGTTTATCATTCACAATGAAGGCTTATATCGCTCTCTCTATCCTGGCTTGCGCCGTTTCGTCTACAGCTACAAACATTCACCGCAGGGCTGATGGTATCCTTCCTGTTGCTGGAATTCCCAAGGGTGGATATAACGCTTATGGAGGAAATTATGATCATCCCGAGACGAACAAATATCAGCCTGTTGGGCAGAAGCAGGCGTCCAACTCTGGTGCTACCAATAGCGGAGGCAAGAAGGCGACTACTCAGAGTACAAAGTGCATTTCGAGGAGCAAGCTTGAGTCTATAGTCAACAAATACGTCTCGACTTTCTCTGGTATCACCGATGGTGGAGCTTTGGCCAGGACTATTTTTCAGGAGGATGTCAAGTTTTATTCTCAGTCTATCTGGTGGACTTCATCATCCTCGCAGATCAACAAGTACGCCCAGGTAAACAATCCTCACCTCTTCATAATATTCATTAGACTAACATCCTTAGAACGACGACTTTCCTCCCATATACAAGAATCGCAAGGAGCTCATCGAAGGCAACACTGAAAAGACCAACGACCCCAGCGCCTTCATCAAAGGGCCCATCGCCTACGGCTGCAACTCCTTCACCTTCTACTGGAAGGGTGACTTCGAGGTTCCCAAGGGAACTCGTCGTGGTCGCGGCAACGGTATCGACATGGTGTTCTTGAACCCTGAGACTGGAAAGGTCAAGAAGGCTTACTCTGAGTACAACACCCTCAACCAGGTCTACAACTGGGGTGCCCACATCACTTGGTCCAAGGATGATGTCTGCTGTGATTGCCCTGTAGTGTTTGACCCTAAGTGCAAGTGCAAGAAATAAACTTGGGGTGTTTGTAGTATAGCTGGCTTGGGATAGAGTAAAAGGCGTTAGGTTCATTATTTCGGGTTTGGTCATGGGTGAACTTAGATAGGCGTTGATGCATATACACAATCTTTACATACAAAAACATATTATCGTTCAAACTTCTATTCAAGCCCGTCGTGGGTAATCGTACATACATGTCTGTTTATGTCTAAAGACGGCTCGATAGCTTGGGATCATCACTCAAGAAGATATTGATCAGCTTGGAAAAGTCATCCGCATATTGATACAGGAACCCATGTCCGGAATCAGGGTACAAGTGTAGTTGCGCTTGGGCATTCTTCAGTTTCTTCCATATCACTATACTGTTCTCTGTGGGCAACAGAAGATCTTCGCTTCCTATTCTTGTGTTAGTGCTTTGTAACTCAAGTACCTATTCGACTTACCATTCGCAATCAGAACAGGTATACGAAGCTCCTCGAGCCGATCATAAGACGCATCCTTGGCCTGCTTCGGGTCCATAAACTTTGCAAAAGCAATCCCCTGTCGACGAGCATTCGCAGGATCAACATGATCAGTTCTATCCTTTCGTGCACTAATGATTCTCTTCCATGCAGCCTCGCCCGCAGCTCTGCTCTTATCAGAAGTGTTGAACATGCTCATCAGGAAAGCTTCCTTGTGCTCTTTCTCTGTCTTGGCAGCACTGAGAGCATTGAAGGCCTTCAGAGAGGGCGCTGGTACTACACCTTCGCCTGTGCTGGGCATAGTACCACAGAGGATAAGACGACGGACAAGACCTTGTCCATTGAGGGCGACGAGCTGAGCGACACAGCCGCCCATGGAGAAGCCCATCACATCGGTCTTCTCGACGCCGAGTGCACGGAGGACGTTGATGTAGTACTGTGCCCATTGCTTGTATTGCTTGGGGACCTCTCCTTCAGATCGTCCTACGCCTGCGTTGTCAATGGTGATGATGGGGCGTTTGGCCGCGATGGGATTTATAAGAGCTGGGTCCCAATGGTCCATCGTTCCTCTGATATCGTCAGTTCATGTCTGGAACTTAGAATTGAAGAGATACTCACCTGAAGTGCATACACAATGTGAGGGGTACGCCTTGTTTTGCGCCGAAGCGTCTGTAGGCGAACTTGATGCCATCTACAGTGATGAACTGATCTTGGGCTGTTTCATATGTCGACATTTTGTAAATCTTTAGAAGTCTGAAGTTCTAATTTCTAATTGTCAGCAATTTGAAGCTGCTGTATAAGTTCGATCTAGATGCCGAGGTCCATCGGCTTTGACGTCAGGTGATCCGTGATCCGGGGAACCTGGTCAGCGTTTGAATACTTTCCTGATTGGGAAGTTTCACCAAGTCTCAGTGGCAGAGGGGAAGAATAGAGTTAACTTTACTTGCTATTGGGCTGATCTCAATGTAACTCACACAAATTCAGCGTGGACAATACTGTCAATGTCCAATAGCAAATATATGATAAGTATGTGTTTTTGATGTTGAGCACGAACGGCGGCTGACGAATTGCCCTTTCGGAGGAATCAAACGACTAGAAATTCTTTGCTCCTCGCTAGATGATGCAAGCCCTGCACTTGAATGACTTTGAATGGGATTAGTTCATACTAAAAGTCAAATGAGACCAAAGGCTAAGTTACACCTCTTCAAAAATTTACAAGTTAATGGTTGAAGCTCGTGGCATATCCTCGACGGAGACCGCATACCCTAGAACATAAGATCTAAGGTCACAGTCAGCTCGAACTCTCATGAGACCAAAGGCATCTAGAATGAGTAAGCATCGCATTATAGTATTGACCTACCTCAGAGGGCTCTCCAAGAATGACCAAAATGCTGGCAATACTGTTTTGACGAGCCGGCATGCAATTAAGAGTTGTCTGATGGCGAAATCCATCACTGTATGTAATAGCTTGATATACTCTATCAGAATTCATCTAAGTATAACCCCCTCTCACTACAGCAGGCTAAGCCTGTTCGGGAAAAGTGTCTTCCGTAGTATAGTGGTCAGTATGCAAGCTTGTCACGCTTGAGACCCGGGTTCAATTCCCGGCGGGAGAGATCCAGCCACCTGCGATACGCAGGCTTTCTTTTTTGTTTCTTTCTCATCATCCTTTAGATCACCAACTACCTTATCCTTTTGCCATCAAGGTCAAGAATATCTTACTATGAATACACTCCGAGATAATGCTAGAAGCAGAAATAAGCAATCACTAAATGCCGGGTATCGACGAGTAGTATAAATAAGCGAAATCACCCTCCTCCAAAACCAACACACACACACACACACACATACAGATACTATGACACTGGGTTTCCCGTCTCGTTGCTGAGCTCCCCAATCCAACTGCTACAATACCATGGCCCGCCAAGCAACAATGCACCACCTGTACCTTTAAAAAGTTCCTCCATATCGTGACATACATACATGTAAAGCATCTATCTACATTATCGTGCAAACACCTTGACCACGCCGTCGCCGCCAGCGCTGACAACCCATTTACCATCTTGACTCCATACGCAGGCGCAGATGCCTTCACCGCGCATCACGCGGTGACTTGTCACTTCTTGCGTGCAGGTACGCTTCTCGAGACTCCAGAAACGGAGGGAGGCGTCGTGACCGGCGCTGACGAGTTCACGACCGTCGGGGCTGAGCGAAAGGCTGGAGATGGCGTCGGGGTGAGCGATCATGTTATATGTACATTGGCCTGGATGATAATAAGTCTTTGTTACTCCCTGTTGGACACGCAACTTACCGCTGTTGGCATCGAAGAACCGGATGAAGCGGTCTTCGTGGCCAGATATGATAGTCCCCTCAACACCTGAACCAGCCATTGATCGTCCACCTCCAGTAGCACCTGGACTAGCTTCTTCCTCGCCTATGCTACCGCTGTGGTTTTGATTAGCCTGATCAAGACCAATTGTCGTCGCCACAACAGCGTTAACACTGGTCTTGTTAGTCTGATCATATGTTTCAAGGCTGTCCATGTTGCCGATTTGTTCACCAGTTCGGGTATCATAAACGATAATGGCGGCATCTGAGTACGAGACAACGAACGACTCTCCAGTAGTACCCAGAGGTGTAATGCATGTCGGGCTAGCGGTGGAACCGTCAGACCTCGAGATGTTGTGTACAAGTGTATGGTTGAAGGGTGAGTTGGAGGCGATGGTAGGTTGAGGAGTATTGGAGAATCCACTGCCAGAACTCATTGAGTTACCACGGACTCTACCTCCACGACCGGTCATGGCTCGGTTTGTTCCGGGTTGTGGTGAGCTCAGCTGAGGAGGTGCGCTCACTGACCACAAACGAACACTGCCGTCTGCAGCACCCGAAACAACCAGGATACGATCCGTGCTACCGTAAGGACTTGAGCTTCCGAATATTTGACCAAGAGTTGCTGGCAGAACACAAATGGCCCAC